AAAAAAAAAAAAAAAAGCGTGCAACGAGATATATAAATACCTGGCGCAAAAAGAAATCAAGATAATCACAACAAACCAAACTGTTGACTGAGGCCCCGTCCAAACCAGGCCAGATAATTTTAAAAACGCAGCTTTATTTCTACGGTCTGGCCTACCGTCCACACTAATCCGTCACGAAAACGGAGCTTTACGAAAAGGTTCTTCAAACCGGAGGAATTTGCAAACGCCGGCTTTTATTTTTTGAAGACAAGCAATAGACTGCAAGGCCGATACTACGTGAAAAACGTTTCGAGACACCAACATGACAAGAACCGATAAAGTAGGATCGCAACAGTGGACAGCTGTTTCGCCCTTCTTGGGGCCGGTCAGCACTGTGTAGCGAAGATATGTAACGCCAGCCCAAAAGCCAACGCACATAAATTGCCAAGTGACCCGTGCACTATATCACGTTCAGTACTTTGAACTCACTTGCGCCCCGGCGTAATGTTGGAGGGGCCTGAAAAGAAACCCGAGCGCCCGTACTCGTTTCCTGATCTGCATCTTCCATGAGAAGATTTTGTCTTGCTCTACAGAGATCCGTGTGGTGTCTGTGATTGGCTGTTGCCTCGTTTTGAATTTTCGCGCGCAAGTAACAACCAATCAGAGAGACGACAAGGATCTGTGTAGTGCTACGTCATCATTATGGCATTCCCGCCCTGAATCACACAGGACACAAATGAGTGCGCGACATGGGTTTACATTGTGTTTTCATTGGAAAAGGAACTTTCGTTTCCTTAGTGTTGAAAATGGAGTGAAACAAGTGCCTGCACATTCTACCCCAACCTTCTAACGGTCAAGTATGCAATTATAATCCAAGATGGCGGCATCTAAAACCTGATCTGTCGAGCATTCCGTTCAAAAAAACATGGCCGCGCTGCAGGCTACAAGTACCTTATTGTTCTGAAAAAAGTTCTTTTCTATTGACATTGCAAGCTGTCACGTCCGCTTACGAGATAAAGTTGCGTGATTCAATCTGGTCACGAACTCACATTAAAGACCAAGTCAATGTTCGGCCAAGAATGGAACTTGTTCTCTCATTACAACAATTTTTTTTTTTTCACTCCCCCGGCCCGGATTGAGCTAAACCTTGTTTGCACTAACCGACCCATGCGGGGGAATATTAATCACACGAGCTTCACTTGGATTTTGTTGCAAGCTACCAAGCTCCTTGGCTGAGTCGTAGTTCCGTGAAGACGGTAAACAGTCAGTTTACTTCATGGACTGTTCACCATCTTCACACGTGTGAAGAAGATGAATTCGTCGGGAAAGCTCGGGTCCAATCCTCCGACTAGTGGCCAGTACCCCGGCGCCGCGACGGACCTTGAGAGAAATGAGAAAATTTAGCCCCCTTTTTAAAAGCAACGGCGAGTACCTCCCACTTCTTTCCTATTAAGTTTTTTTTTTTTTAATTGAGTTAGAAAGAAAGCAAGCAAGCAAGCAAGCAAGCAAGCAAGCAAGCAAGCAAGCAAGCAAGCAAGCAAGCAAGCAAGCAGTCAATCAATCAATACTTAATTTAAAAAGGCCGTGCTGGGAGAAGAGAGTTACAGCGCAGACTACAGCGCAGACTCTTAATAACCACGGACGGAAACCAAGTTGTTGTTTTTGTTAGTGGCTGGCTCGGGTTGACTTTCATTTTAGCATTTACTGTTCGACGACGTTTGATGAAGAGTCGACAATGTGGCCTGTCACTGAAATCGACACTAGGGTAGGTCTAGATCGAGCTAATTGCTGTAATGATCGAGATAACGTCTGTAAAGAAAAGACCACGGGCCGATGAAACACAGCAAACTTGCTGAACAAAAACGTTATAACTCGAATAGAATAGGTAATCAAGCAGTCTGAGTGGGTGATTTTAATCACTGGCCTTCTCAGGAGGCCGGCTTAGTCGAGTGATATGGCGTGAAAAATGCCTTTATAACATCAAAATGAGTTTTCAGAAAAGCGTCTGCACTGTGGATGATAATGAAATAATATAAAACAAACTGAAGATTGAGTTATGAATAGTCAAGACTTTTTTTTCCCTCTGATTACCTACCAGGATGTCCTGAAGAAGTTTGGAAGCTTCTTGTTTGCTGCCACATCGCTTATACGCCTACAAAAATTAACCAAAATGACAACGCTTCAGTACTAACTACATGTATACGACTACACGCACGTTCGTCTACTTATATAAACCGTGCGCAGTACTACAAGCAGTAGGCAATAGGTAACTAAAACGACTCTTCCCCCAGGCTGAGTAAAATAAAATATATAAGAATCAGTGAAGAGATTTTTTATACCGATCTTAAAAGTAATCTTAGATTACCTGTAAAAGACTCTGTGGACTGGGATACACAGCAACTATGGCGGCTGCCATTTCAGCTGACACATTCCTGAACTGCTGGAAATGCTGCTGCCACACCTTCTTCAAACCCTCTCCTTCTTTTGATACCTTGAAATTTGAGAAAACGATTTGAACAAGAAAGATTTTCCAGTCTGACAATAATGTAAGGTTTAACGACATGAATAGGTATTCAAAAAACACAGGAAGAAAGTAAAAAAAGGTACGTTTCTGCGATACGATAACTAGGATTTTGATTTTCAGAATTCGTGACAGGAAGCACTCTACCTGTTTTTCCAGGTATAGTTTTCGTTCATGCAATTCTTTTTTACTCCAGTTACATGTCAGGTCACGGAAATGAAAATAAATAAATATATAATGTAAAATAAAACAACAACAACAACAACAACAACAACAAAAAACAATTTTGGGACAAGGGGAGCAGGTGAGAACAAGAGTTGAAAGTAGGAACCGGAACTGAGGAGAAAAGTGCTGTTACTTCTCCGAACCCGCCCCTCTGATTAGAGAATGAATCACTGCCTGTCTTGTCATCCAAAGAAATAACCATGAAACTTTGAAACAAATTCTTCCAAAGATTATGGTAGTAAGATATTTTTCAACAACAGTAAACAGAATTTGTAAGTTTATGGCAGCCCGTAGTACCTTCACAGATCCTTTTTCTCCGCCTTCAACACAGAAACTAAACGATTCCGGTTGTTTCTTCCTGTTAACAGAAAAAAAGTGGAAAACATGTTCATTATCCCTAGTAACCTCGCAGTTGTATCTATTCTATTGTATCTTCACTCAGTGCTGAGAATTATTCAGCATTTGGTATCCAGATTAAAATAACTGTTTTGTAATCGCAGTATGTCATTGAGTTAAATTATGGTTTTACATGTAATTTTTTGTGACTGTCAGGTATAAATGTTGCCTACAGAACGTCACAGGCAAAAAAATGCGTTTACGAAACATTTTCATAATGGGGTGGAAGTGGCTGAAATGAGTGTCTTTGAATATTGTTTTTTTTGTTTTTTTTGTTTTTTTTTTTATTCTATCAAAATTAAACACGCTCTCGCAACTAAACCGGAAAAATTCTTGGAACCCAAGGTTACAAGAGCCACGGCCACTCAAAGTTACCAGACTAAAAAAAGCACATTCCAATGCACTTGGTTCTTACTTGTAAGGTGCTTCAGCCACAGCTTTTGTAAACATGGTCAGCAGATCAGCAAACTCCTCTTCTGTTGCACACATGCGCACTCGACATTTCGGTTTCTTGATCTGTAGGGCTACAAGCGCCTCTTCGATGTCAACCCTCGACACCATGACACTCGGCCCAGACTCCTTGTTAGACTTCTTCCGTCTTTTACCGCTGAGATTTTCGGTGTCCGATGAACTTGAGCCTAGGACAGCGCTACGAAACTGACGCTTTTCTGTGAGCTTGACATCTCTTCAGAGAAGAAAATTCATGTTAGAATCAAACAGGGAATATTAAAACAGTGATAAATGGTTAACTTCTATATAGACCGGTGTAATGTTATGTTCCATGTAGCACTTCAGACAATTAACAATTATTGGACGAGGTTGAGCAATCAATAATTTGCCTTCGGCAAATCACTGATCTGCTCACCGTTGACAAGTCACGATATTTTGCGATAACCGAGTTCAATACTTGTTTTATCATTCGATCACCAAGTTTTTTTTCAAATTTGAAGCGCTCTCTGACAGCTTTTTCACACAAGACCGTGTGGTTTCAGTTGCGCATGAGTAGAACATTATTTGCAGCAAAACACATTTCGACGGTACTACGCATGAGCAGACCATTATTTGCGGGCAGTTATTTTCAGGTCACGTGGTGGGGCCGTTGAAAAGGAAAGAAAAAATGCATCGAATGAAAATAGAAAGCACTGGCATAACAACAATCAGAGAAAACCAAATGACGAGCCATACATTGAAACACACCTGAAATACTTCTCAAGACCAAGAACAACAATGGTAATAATTTTTCCTGGGTAAATAGTCAGGGCTCTTTCACAGAACGCGAGTAACGTTTCGTCGTCAGCGATAACAGAGATGGTAGGATTTTGCATTTCCTGAAACAAAAAAGAAATCAGGAAAAGGTGTAAAACGAGATACAATAACTAATTGCCTCTTACAATAGCGTTGTACTGTTAAAATAACAGGTGATAATAACGAAAATGATCAACTGGGGAAAGTTCCCTTGATGTGCCCTCAAGTACTTGGAGGCTTCAGGTCTTTGATTAAAACAAACGTATGGCAATCAGTTAGAGGAATGAATGTTCCGAACAGCAGCGAAGGAAGCCACAATTATGGAAAGGTGTGTAACTGATTAAATCGATGTCTCGCAGTTCTATGCTGGGATTTGACTTCAACATTGTCAGAGAAAAGGGTTTTTGCTGGGAAGGTCGGCTGTAGAAGTCAGAGCAACGGCAAAACATTGTAGCAGTTAATACCACAGAGGGTCGAACAAGCGACTCGACAGATTTGGGTACTCTTTGTATAAGGACTCGAATTTTTCTGTCCAAGCACAAAACGCCAACCGCGTTCCCAGGGCGAGAAAGGTCCCCGGGAACGAGGTTGGCAAAAAGCCGCGTCAGAAGGGCGATAGTCGTGACGTCAGCTTGTTGTTATCGGTATATGTCCTTTTACTAAGCAACGCTTCTGTTGGAAAAAACGCGGACTCAGTTATTAAATATAGTGCCCTCCTGTACATGTTATGCACGGAGACGGAGTTACGGAGTTGTGAAACTGCTGAGGACTAGGAACAGCATGAAACATCGCGAAAATTCATAAGTGCCCACAAATACGAAATAGCTCTAAACGGAAGGACATCTCGGGAAAAAAAGTCTTCATTCAGACAAAAGTGACATTTTATCTCACCTCACGAAATTGAAAAACCAGTTCAACAAACTTGATCGCCGACAAACGAAGTACTGCATGTTGCTCGTCGGTAAAGGTAGTTTTAGTGGAGATCTGAAAAAGAAGATTGATTCAACCATCACGCATGCTTCTCTGATGGCTATCTACTGCAAAAAAAATACGTGGTTTTTTCAGATTCATCAAGAAAAAAAAAAACGTGAAATGAGCTCAAGCCAATCATGGCAGAGTGACTATGTTGTCTTTTATTTAAAACTCCCGCGCTTGCCGCTGGTTGCATGTTTTCCCGCGCTTGCTATTGGTTGCGTGGTTACCACACAAAGATCTCCCGTACTCCCTGAGGCGCTGTTCGTTTGTTTTCCCAAGTTTGTCGCTGGTTGCATGTTTTCCCGCGCTTGCTACTGGTTGCATGGTTACCCCACAAAGTTCTCCGATACTCCCCGCGGCGCTCACTTGTTTTCCCGCGTTTTCCAATAGTAAAATGTTTTCTCACGCTTGCGACATTATTTCCTGTGATTCCAAATAGTTCCACCTTTCCACCAGTTTCGTTTTTCCATTTTCACCGTTAATTACTAGTTTTGTCGCCTTGTCAGAGACAAGCCAAATCGCAGCCCCCCCAACCAAGAACAACTTTTGTCCTGTAACATAACCTTTTTCACTAGGGCCTGCATGTAACTGTACCTGAAGTGTCTCTCCTTGCACATCATGCTGGACACAAGCTCTCTGCCATGTGATGACGCCAGGAATCAGCTGCGATTGTGTCTTATGGCTTGCCCCTAGTGACTCCAGCTTTTGAAGGAGGATATTGTCCTCTGGTACTTGGCCATTGGTCAAAATTCCAGGATCAATGCAGACCACCATTTGCTTTAAAGAAAAATTTAACGAGGAAATTATGTATGACAAAAAAATGGGATCAACAACTACAACAATGACAAAAACACTGCCATAATAACAAAAATGACAAAAATAGTAATTAATGAAGACAAAGTTTCTCAGGCACAGATCCATACCAGTTTCCACAATTTTATGGAGATCGGTCAGATTTTTTAGCATGACCTTTGAAACTCGCCAAAGGAGAATTAAATCCAAACATTTCCTGCAGACCATGACCCCCAACCCTTCTAGAAGCTCGCACTTTCAGCACCCGTTGTTTCGGAAATGGCAACCATTTACTCTAGACCCGTGCCTGTTTCCAATTATTAAAGAAACATGAGCAAATTTTCTGTCTTTCTACACAATTTAGATTAGAGAGGCTCTAAGGTGGAACACCCACTTCCTATGGTCGAGAAAACATGGGCTGGTTCTTAGATTAAACTGCCCTTTACCTTGATACAGCCATCCAATCGATTGTTTTTCTGATTCATACTCTCTGCCTAAACCAAGAGAGAGTAGCAATAAATGTGTAATTTTAACAACCTAAATCTGTAACATGTATATACATCAACACAACAAACGAGAATCAGCCAAAGAGTTATTGAACCCTAAGTAACCAGTCACACCTGTTTAATATGCTGTACACATCATAAGGTGATTAAAAGTATGTTCTATTCACTGTAAGGGTCTAAATTTACTGACAGAGATAATTTTTGTCAGTTTAAACCAGGTGGTAAACAGAACTAGATATTGAAGATATTATTGAAGATATTGTATAAGACAATGTTGTGTTCAATTCACCAGAATGATAACACAACAACACCAGCAGTAAGATCAAGAAAAGACAGCTCACAACCTGAAGCTTGTTGGTAGTGTCATTGATGGGCTATGCTACACATTGTGTGACAGTCCTTAAAGCATATCAATTGTTCCCTTTTTCACTTACATTTCTCATTTAAGCGTACAAATATGGCTTGTCAATACGTCTTTTACTATTAATATTACAGTGGAACCTCAATTTAATGAACCTCTATTTAATGAAGTCCTGGATATAACGAACAATATTTTATGTCCCGGCCAGTTACAGTATAATGTATAGAATAGAACCTCGATATAATGAACCTTGATATAACAAATTCTTCGATATAACGAACATAATCTGGAAGCCCAAACATAAAATCTACCTCGATATAACAAATTACAATGTTTCCTTGTTTACATAGACAATTTTCTGTATAACCTCTATGTTGCAACATTTTAAAATTCCTACTCTGAAAGTGTCGCTCTTTTGTAAACAAAAGCTGCACATCTGCTCAAAAGTGAAAATAATTGATACTGAAAGCCACCATTCTTAATGAATTGCATCTCAAAACGGGGCACTTCTGGGTGATGAAAATTGCATTGAATTGCGTGACAGAAGTCACCTGTGTTACAAATCAATCATTAACTATGACCTCAACATAATGAACATTTTGGTCGTTTCCCTCAAATTCGTTATATCAAGGTTTTCGATATAACGAACCCTTGACTTGACAAACAAATTTGGCCAGTCCCCAGCGACTTTGTTAAATCGAGGTTCCACTGTAATGTACAGTTTTAGTCATCTTGTACGAGTTTACAAGCCCTGTGGTTTTCATGTTCCCTTGCCATTTTTCTGTCTATCTTTTGCATACTAATAACTGTAATTTCTTTGAATGTAGATCTTTTGTATGGCAAATAAAATAAAATGAAATATAAAATAAATAAACAAACCTTTTTCAGCAATTTTTCTTTATCTTTAGACATTTTTATCTTTTCTCTAGCTTGAGCTCTGGCTTGTTGTTCTTTCGCTCTTGCTTCTTTCTTTTCTTGCCTTTCACGTTCTTTTGCTTGTTTCTTCAGCTGAAAACAATATCTTGAAGCTTTAGGAAAACTGTTCACTGTGATGCAGATTGCTATATGAGTGCAGTAAGGAAACTAATTAAGTCGTGAGGAATAACAAGCATTTGTAGGCACCCCACTTAGACTAAGCTATGAGACCTGCCATTCCCAGTATAATGACTTGTAAAATAGACTGTGTTGTTCTAAAAAACATACCCACAGCCCTCTCAAAGGTTAATTAGGTTGGAGCCCTCAACCCACCTCTCTAGAAATTCCAGTTAGCTTCATATTTTCCATGTAATAACTTTCAACTGGCTTTACCCTGCCCCTCTCAGAAACTGCTGCAGCAATAAATCTTTCTTTACAATAAGTAATATGAAAATTACGTACAACATAAATTACATTGTCAGTAGTAACTTTCATATCCTTTTATTAATGGCTGCTATTTCTTTTTGCAATTAGTTTGGATGCCTGGCAAGATTTAGCTAATGAGCATGATAATTAACCATCATAAGTCCACGAGATTGTTTTGGATATGAGATGATTGATAGCCAATGAGGTGTGCAGAACCGAGTTGGCTACTGAAATCCTTTCATATCCAACAAGAGCGAGTGGAATAATTGTTTTATTACAAATGCCCCAAAATATAGAAAACCAAAATAAAATAGTTCTAAGTAAAAATGGCCCCAAAAATTATGCCTACGCTTACCACAATTGTATAATGACTCATATACCATGATGGTTAAGCCAATGAAAACTCGTAAATTGCATTATCCAATGATCCAGTTTTTAATCATGAAGGCTATACTTACAAGAGTTTCATTTCTGTGTCTTGTTATTTCCTCTGCTGACCTTTTCTTTCTCTTTGCTGGGATTTCAGAACCATGCCGAGAGTCCATATTGATGCTTTCTTGTGCACTTGAGTCACTACTTTTGTAATTGTCTGTACATGAACTGGGCAGAGATTTACAAGAATGGCCATTCCTTTCACTGCCTGAATACAAAGATGATGGTAAAACACAAGGAAGGTCATCACTGTCTTCACAGCTGTCAGTGTCATGCTTAGATGGAGATAATTCCATCAGTTTTCTGTCAAGTATTTCAGAGCACTTCTTTCTAGCAATCGTGTTCTTGTGTGAAGGACCTGCCTTTATGCTTTGTTGTTTTTGTGTTTCAACTAAAACACATTCATCCTGGCTGGTTGTTTGTGTTTTAGTAACACACGATTGTATTAGACTGTTTAGCTTGAACTGGCAGTCATCTTGACTTTCATCATCTGAGAAAGACAGATCAACAATAGCACTTGTTCGCTTGTTCTTTGAATCAGTTTTTGTACATTGTCCCCCTAGACGATCAGATGTTTCCTCAACAGCGATCGCATTGGGAGGTTTTGATTGAATTGAGCATCTTTTCCCAGGTTCTTTCTTATTCATTCTACTCTTCAAAGCACTGAATAAACTTCTTCTCTCTTCTTGGACAATTATGATGCCGTCATCATCATCTGTATCAGAATATACATCAGTGTCACTACAGTCATTCTTATTACTTTGCGATGAATTCATTCTATTAACAGAAGTTGATGGATTCTTGAAGTTTAAGGACTCAGTTGCATCCTGACATGGGGTTTCCAATGATGTGCTTTGAACGTCAACATCAACACTGACTATTGCAGGGAACTGAAAACACAAAATCAGGTCACTTCAAATTTCCACAACAAAAACTAAATACATGAATAAATGGCACCAATGGCCAGTGAACAGTTCCATTTTAATTGATTGAGATATATTTTTGATAAGTCAGAATTAAAAAGTTGCTGATCAAATGAATGAAATCAATAATTAACTTATTGTCGTCATAAAGCACTACTCAATGGGGCAGATAGGGGGATTTGAAACAGTCCCTTAGAAAATGATGGCAAATCACCCCTGGTAGGATTAATGAGATCAAGTTCCCCTTCCCCAATAACTTTTTAAAATATCAAATCCATTGGTTTCAGCGCTCTTTCCCTCGTCCAAAGTAGGAATCATGCAAAAAATAGTACCTTTCATTTTGTATCATGTACAATGACGTACTGATCAGTGACTTTTAGCCCGTGATCAGTAAATATTCTGCAAAAGGCCATATATACTCGATTTCTGCAGCTCTCTCGGGTCTTGATTGCATCGATGAGATCGATGGCAGTGAATCACGAAGATGGAACAAATGTTTTACTTACCTGACCATCCAGAATTCTGTTGATTGTCCTTGTTGCACTTCCCGTGATGATCAGATCCTTGGCTACATCCTTAGGATCGACGTCTGGGCACACGGCCATGACATTGGCGATCATACTTTGAGGTACAAGCTTGAAAGGGGAACCTCTGTCCCCATCCATCGCGTCCATCTTGGATTGCGCGCTTTTTTCGGAAAACCGCATTCTGTATTGCGCGCGGGCTTACACAACGCCAACCGCCAACCGCGCCGCTTTACGCATCACGGAGAATTTTTTTCACCAATCACGCGTCACGTAAGAAAGAAGTAAGTACATCGCCAATTTTACTTTCTCAACTCTAAAAGCGTCGTTAAAAGAAGAACTCTGCCAATCCAACTACAAAAATGCATCGGCAAATGTGTGACCTCTCACGCGAAAACTTTCCTCACGGTATCCGCTCGAACGGCTGAACGCACGGCAAGTGAACGGATAATTTGAATAACAATAGTCAATTTACTTGTTCCAAGATATCTTAAGACTACTTGGTTCTACATGAGTTGATAACCACTGAATATAATGAGTAATGACTCTAGAAACAATTTAATGAAATGCAAACTGTGAAGGTAACTTTGAGGGATTTATGAGATGTGGACTGTGTAGGTACATGTTGGGAATTAATGCGATGAAAGCTGTGTTGGTATATGTGGGGGATAAAGGAGATTTAAGCTGTATAGGTATATGTGGGGGATTAATGAGATGTAGGCTGTGTAGGTATATGCAGGGAATTAATAAAATGTAGGCTGTGGTATATGTAGGGGGTTAATGAGATGTATGGTTTATACGTATATGTGGGGAATTAATGAGATGTACGCTGTGTAGGTATATGTAGGAGATTAATGAGATGTAGGCTGTGTAGGTATATGTGGGGGATTAATTAGATGTGGGCTGTGTAGGTATATGTGGGGGATAAAGGAGATGTAAGCTGTATAGGTATATGTGGGGGATTACTGAGATGTATACTGTGTAGGAATATATGTGGGGGATTAATGAGATGTAGGAATATGCCTGGGGGATTAATGAGATGTAGGTATATGTGGGGGATTAATGAGATGTAGGTGTATCTGGGGGATTAATGAGATGTAGATATAGGTATATGTGGAGGATCAATGAGATGTAGGTATATGTGGGGGATTAATGATATGCAGGCTGTGAGGGGATATTGGGGGAAATAAGAGAGATGTGGATATTGCGGTGGAGTTAACTGGCCGCCCAACCATCCGGGTGGTGTCGCACTTATAANGTGGGGGATTAATGATATGCAGGCTGTGAGGGGATATTGGGGGAAATAAGAGAGATGTGGATATTGCGGTGGAGTTAACTGGCCGCCCAACCATCCGGGTGGTGTCGCACTTATAAAGCGAAAAGACAAAAGGCTTGGTTGTGAGCCAATGAGAAAGCACTGACGTTATAGCCAAACAGGACGAACGAGTTTCTGACACCGGTTGGGTTTGATTGTGCAAAATGGCGGACATACCTTAATTTAAGACTATAACATGCTAATTTGCCAAACATTCTTTACATGCACGCTTATGTTTTGTCACGGCTTTGTAATTTATGCTATACAAACAGTTATATATTAAAATACGCGTTCACCTCGTGTATCTTGAGTTACAGTAGCCAGATTAAGCCTTGATTGATGACGTTCGTTTAAAGTTCTCTCTTTCATCTAATATTACGCGTTGCAGCGAAAGGGTAGTTCATATTCGTCGGCAACGTCTACCGTCTACGAATGCCTACGAGCGAAAACAACTTCCGGTGCCTCGCCGCCTCAAATCATCACAATTTTCGATGTTATTCCACCAGATATCATTGTCTCTGCTACATTAATATTTAGATTTGAGGTTAATTAATTGGTGAGATCATCGAGAACTGGGAGCTAGTGGAAAGAGAAATACAGTAATAATTACTTGGTTTGGAGCGGGAAAGTCCCGAGTATCAACTCGCCATGTTCAAGGACGTTATGGATGACGATGGCCTTAAGTGTTCAAAGCCTTAAGCTATACTGAAGAAGAAGATGCAAACGATTGCCGTGTAGTAATGGGGAAGATGAAAAGGTATTGCATCGGCGAATTAACGTAAACGACATTGTTTCAGCAGCAGGGAAAAACTTCCTACCGAAACGCTCGACAACTTAATTGCTGAATTAAAAAGAACCCGGGCAAAGAGCTGAAATTTATGTGATTTTTTACGGTTTTTACATGATACTCTCATTTGCGTTCGATTGTTCTTGGGATAAAACCTGAGCAAAGCACAAAGCAGCCACTTACGGTGACAGACCCCACGTTAAACATGTGTATCGACCTTCCAGCATCCGAGATGCAAATATAGGGATCTTAACAACGACGACGGCGACGCCGAGGACAACGCCTTGTAAAATTGAATTTTTCCAGGATGCCCATGGCTCTAAAACGTCGCTTAGGCTAAACATGTAATGACGGCGTTCAATTCTAAATGGAAACAGGAAAAATTAGCAGTTCTACTCGTCGTCGTTGGCGTTTGCGGTCATTTTGCAGAGGACAGCTATGAAGTGTACAAAGGTTTACTGAACACGTTTACACAGCCATTGTTTTGCTCATTAAACCTTTCCATCACGAAAACGGAGCTTTTCGAAAACGCTCTTCAAACCGGAGGAATTTGAAAACGACGGCTTTGAGTTTTCGTGTGGACCAGAACATTTTAAAACGGCCCTTTTCGAACACAATAGGATCAGGAGAACCACGTGATTTGCCTGGCCGAGATTTCCGCAAAAAAAATATATATAATACGACCGGTGATTGTTGCGTTTTTAAATTGCTCCGGTGTAGTGTGGACGCTTCCTACGCTCCTAATGAAGTCAATAATCAGACGGCGTTCTTCAATGAGTCCAAAGAGAAAAAAATCGAAGGAGGTCCAGCGCAAAGGAGAAATGCACCATAAATAAACATCGTAAACAAAATAAATATTTAGTGGTGGAACTCTTTAAGGACCTCGATCAAGTTTAATATTCGTTATATGTTACTAGGATTATCACGAAGGCTAACCCGGCGGCTAAATAAAGTTTTACTTTATTTACTTTTACTGCCGGATTTATCAGAAAGAACCTCCATCGTTGCCCCGAACAGTTTAAGAAAAACTCTAACTTGTTATTTATTATTATTTATTAGTCGGAAATTTTCGAGAACTGGAGCGATATTTTGGAATCGAATTCCTCCAGACTGGAGAGATTTATCTAAACCAATCTTTAGGGAAAAAATTCGTAGATTTTTATTTGAGACTCTTTCAGATAGGGATGACTATGTTGAAGTCGACACCCTGACTCAAGTTCTTAAATTTAGTTCCTGATTAATTTCGACCCATAGTTTAGTTTATCTCTAGTAAATCATAGCTCCTAGTGTCAATCAAAATGTGTAAATGTACTTGTCTTAAACGGTTTTGTAAATCCTTCTATAAGTAGTTGCATAACAATCTTATTTATGTATTAATGGTCTAATATAAATATAGATATGGCCCGCCTAGATTAGCCCAGGATATCTGCGGGTTCGCGCTGTTACTATTGTCAAGCTTTTTTTTTTACCTTAATGTGTACATATTTCTGTAAAATTGTAAATATGCGAGTCATAATAAATTTGTTGTTGTTGTTGATGTTGTTGTAGTAAGAGACCATCTGTGTGGGATATGATTCACATACCCAAAAGGAAATTCATGACATCCAGATTTTTGGTATAGAATTTATTATCGAATACCAGGGTATGTGATTCGCATACGCAAAAGGAAATTCATGACATCCAGATCTAAGGTGTACAACGACAAGCAGCTCGTTTTGTTAAACATTTTTATTATCGAATACCAGGGTATGTGACCAGTCTCTTGAATAAGCTAATAATGATACCACATCTCATTAAATCGGTCTGCAACCATTTCTCTTTAAATCAGTTGTTATCAGTTCATGTGGAACCAAGCCGGATATTCACCTGATACATACTACCTTCCATATGATGCCCATGTCTTCCGTAGAGCTACCAGGGAAGCATTTACGAAACATATTTTTCCCTTTAGATTTCATTCTTCTGGTGTCGACATATTTAATCGTCAAATCGCCCAAAATGATGGTTGATTTAGCTTCTACCCCCCGCTCGCTAAAACGTAACAGTTAACCAACCGGTGTTATCATCACGATGAAGAGGTCTCTTGCATGGAAAATAACTCTAGGTAAGGGAATGAAATAAATGACAACAGACACTAGTGAAGGTAAACTTTAAACTTTTATTTAGACGTTGGCGAATTGACTAGTAGGACGTTGGCGAAGTGACTTAGGACGTTGGCGAATCGACCTAAGACGTTGGCGAACGAGACGTTGGCGAAACGACTCGTTGGCGAAACGACCGGATACCCATTCAGTTATCAACGTGTAATAAGAAGTATGAAATATCGGACAAACGTATACCCTGTTGATAGTCAGATGTAAAGATAGGTATTATGAATACAGACTTAAATAAACGATTCGTAATAAAAATGCACGAAAAAAATTCAGTGTTTAAAATTAATACCGTAAACTGCCCCTTATAACCCCTGGGCTTATACAACTTCTAAAGGGCTTTTAGATGGACTGATAAACGGAGGAACTTATCTCCGAGGAAGCCTATAACCGGAATAAAAAAAAAGAAACGCTTCGAAACGAGCTATAGTTGCACTTGTTGTTTTTCACTGAGTTTTAAAACATCATAATAAACTAAAACGAATTCAAAACAAGTAAACCTAAAGAGGGCTTATTTCCGGGGGCTTATGACCGGATGCAATTTTTGTTTTACAGGTAGTTGGGTCTATAACCGTGGGAACGTATCAGCGGAGGAGTATTCAAAGTTACAGGAACGTTTTAAAAACAAGTCTCCTCTCGTCAGTATGACCAAGTTCTCTTTCCGGCTTGTCTCCATTGAAATAAATGCTAAATGGAGAATGTAG